AAAAAAAAAAAATCAAGAGGAGGCTAGGAAGGTGGCTCAGTAGTAGAGTGCTCACCTTGCATGCATGAGGCCCTGGGTTCAATTCCTCAGCATCACATACCCAGAAAAAGCCAGAAGTGGCGCTGTGGCTCAAGGGGTAGAGCGCTCGCCTTGAGCTGAGGGACAGCGCCCAGGCCCAGAGTTCAAGCCCCATGACTGACCCCCGCCCCCCAAAAAAGGCAGAGGATTTTACAGTAAACCAACTGTACCTCAGCAAAGCAGTTCAGAAAAGCCAGTGCCCAGGGTCTGCGAGAACTTACCCGATCCTGCATCCGAGCCCGAGGCCGGCCACACCCATAAGGCAGGGTGTTGTCATAACCGCCCACCCCCTGCATGCCCATCATGTTGTAATTGGGGGTCATGGACTGGGAGAAAAGGGAAGAAGGGGGCCTGCTGGGAGAAGGGCCTCCCAGGCCTCGTCCACCCGAGTAGTTCAGTTCACTCCAGGATGGAGGGAGGGGCTCGGAGGAGGCCGAGGGCGGCATGAAGGGCTCGCTGCGCAGGAAGCTGCTGCTGCTGCTGGAGCTGCTCCGGTCCTGGAAGCGATCCTGGAAGCGGCCCTGGCCCTGACCCTGGCCCTGGCCCTGGCCCCGGCCCCGTACGAAGCCATCGAGGGAGCCCTGCTCTCGGCCTGCGTCTCGGCAGTCACCATACTGCCCAGCAAAACCACCATTGCGGTCAGTCCCCAGCTCATAGTCGTAGCTGTAGCTGGGGCGGTAGCGGCCGTGCTCCGGCAGGCAGGGCCTGGAGTCGTAGGACTCAAAGGTCTGGAATCGGAAGGAGCTAGGAAGGAAGCAGACGCCATCAGGGGTAGCTGGACACCTAGTCGTCCACATGTCTTTCTTCAACACAAAACTGATCTCCCTAGCAATGTGAACAGCCAAAGCACCCCAGATCCCCCCTAAAATGCTCAGAGGAAACTTACCAGTTCCCACCCCCCCCCCGCAAATGCTGCTCAACGAGAGACAATCTGAGCCAAGACCCATGCCCTGCAGCCTACAAAGGTCCACGATGCGGTCACCTCCCCCCATCTCTAGCACGCCAGGAAGGTGAAGAAGAAGAGAGCGAGCCCTCTAAGGGTGGGTGCTGAGTGGGCACTGATGCCCTGGGAAGAACTCAAGGCCATAATCACCTCTCTCGGTCCTGCATGCCCTCCCCACCGATGGAGCTCCCGCCCCTTCCTCCTTCCTTGGACATCATGTCCAGCCGCTGGTTGATCTTGGCAATGAGCGAGTCGGAACTGTCCGAGCACGGCTCTGGGCCGTAGGATGGCAGGGGCATGGCAGGGCCCCCTGCCGCCAGGCCACCGTCACTGGCTTTGGTGGCCTCCCAGGAGGCTGGGCTGTAGCTGTAGGTCGCTCCCGCGGGGACCGTGGCATTTTGGGCACTGTAATAGTTGTAGTTGTCATAGCCTATGGGAGCAAGAGGAGTCAGTGAGACCTCAGCCCCCAAGGCGGGTCTGCGGGGGCAGCCGCGGCCCCAGGCACCGGGGTGAGGCCGTCCCGAGCACAGGCCCAGGAAGGAAGGCAGCAGGAGGCCAGAGACTCGGCCTCAGCTCTGATACAGTGTCTCTGGGCCAGACCCTAGGACCTAACTATTTAAGGTCGGGAACCATAGGAAGACTGGGGATCCCATTACACACCCACAACCCCACCCCAACAAGCTCCTTTGAAGGCCAGCCAGGCCTTGGACCCCAGGCAGACCCTCGGAAGAACTTACCCTGCCAGCCAGCCACACCACTTCCGTAAGTACCTTAGGGAAAACAGAAGCACACGAGAGGTTTACTAGCTGAGCAAAGGCGTCCAACAGTCCCCAAGGCCAGGAGTCTCCCACGCCACCACAGCAGGCCTGTCCACACAAGACGCCCCAGGCACGCTCCTTGCCCACAAATCAATGCAAGCCAGCATCAGGGCCTTGGTCCCAGGCCAGCCCACCTCGGCACACAAGGCAGGGGAAGGAGGTGCCCTGGCCCCCACGAAGCTGATCTGAGGAGGAACTAGCCGAGTGGCCAGTCTGGCTCGGACCCTGGGGAAAGACCTTAAAAGGCTCGAGTTCTCACAGAAGCAAGAGCCCAACAGCTCCAGTCACGACAACAGGGCACGAGAAAACAATCATGTCCTCCAACTTAGCGGCACATGGGCATGGGAGGGCATGGGA